AGCCATACTGTGAGTACACTGAGAGCAGGGCACACAGGACAGCCATACTGGGAGTACACTGAGAGCAGAGCACACAGGACAGCCATACTGTGAGTACACTGAGAGCCATACTGTGAGTACACTGAGAGCACAGGACAGCCATACTGTGAGTACACTGAGAGCCATACTGTGAGTACACTGAGAGCACAGGACAGCCATACTGTGAGTACACTGAGAGCAGGGCACACAGGACAGCCATACTGTGAGAACACTGAGAGCAGAGCACACAGGACAGCCATACCGTGAGTACACTGAGAGCAGGGCACACAGGACAGCCATACCGTGAGTACACTGAGAGCAGGGCACACAGGACAGCCATACTGTGAGTACACTGAGAGCAGGGCACACAGGACAGCCATACCGTGAGTACACTGAGAGCAGGGCACACAGGACAGCCATACTGTGAGTACACTGAGAGCAGGGCACACAGGACAGCCATACTGTGAGTACACTGAGAGCAGGGCACACAGGACAGCCATACTGTGAGTATACTGAGAGCAGGGCACACAGGACAGCCATACTGTGAGTATACTGAGAGCAGGGCACACAGGACAGCCATACTGTGAGTACACTGAGAGCAGGGCACACAGGACAACCATACTGTGAGTACACTGAGAGCACAGGACAGCCATACTGTTAGTACACTGAGAGCCATACTGTGAGTACACTGAGAGCAGAGCACACAGGACACCCATACTGTGAGAACACTGAGAGCAGAGTACACAGGACAGCCATACCATGAGTACACTGAGAGCAGGGCACACAGGACAGCCATACTGTGAGTACACTGAGAGCAGGGCACACAGGACAGCCATACTGTGAGTACACTGAGAGCAGAGCACACAGGACAGCCATACTGTGAGTACACTGAGAGCAGAGCACACAGGACAGCCATACTGTGAGTACACTGAGAGCAGGACACACAGGACAGCCATACTGTGAGTACACTGAGGAGCAGGGCACAGGACAGCCATACTGTGAGTACACTGAGGAGCAGGCACCTGGGACAGCCATACTGTGGTACACTGAGGCAGACTGGGACAGCCATGCCTGTGGGGTACACTGAGGCAGGACACACACAGGACAGCCATACTGTGAGTACACTGAGAGCCATACTGTGAGTACACTGAGAGCAGAGCACACAGGACAGCCATACTGTGAGTACACTGAGAGCAAGGCACACAGGACAGCTATACTGTGAGTACACTGAGAGCAGGGCACACAGGACAGCCATACTGTGAGTACACTAAGAGCCATACTGTGAGTACACTGAGAGCAGAGCACACAGGACAGCTATACTGTGAGTACACTGAGAGCAGAGCACACTGAGAGCCATACTGTGAGTACACTGAGAGCAAGGCACACAGGACAGCTATACTGTGAGTACACTAAGAGCCATACTGTGAGTACACTAAGAGCCATACTGTGAGTACACTGAGAGCCATACTGTGAGTACACTGAGAGCAGAGCACAGGACAGCCATACAGTGAGTACACTGAGAGCAGGGCACACAGGGCAGCCATACTGTGAGTACACTGGAGAGCAGCACAGTGGACAGCCATACTGTGAGTACACTGGAGAGAGCAGAGCTAACACAGGACATCCATACTGTGAGCACACTGAGAAAGCTGTGAGTACACTGAGAGCAGAGCACACAGGACAGCCATACTGTGAGTACACTGAGAGCAGAGCACACAGGACAGCCATACTGTGAGTACACTGAGAGCAGAGCACACAGGACAGCCATACTGTGAGTACACTGAGAGCCATACTGTGAGTACACTGAGAGCAGAGCACACAGGACAGCCATACCGTGAGTACACTGAGAGCAGGGCACACAGGACAGCCATACTGTGAGTACACTGAGAGCAGGGCACACAGGACAGCCATACCGTGAGTACACTGAGAGCAGGGCACACAGGACAGCCATACTGTGAGTACACTGAGAGCAGGGCACACAGGACAGCCATACTGTGAGTGTGAGTATACTGACTGAGAGCAGAGCACACAGGACAGCCACAGGACAGCCATACTGTGAGTACACTGAGAGCCATAATGTGAGTACACTGAGAGCAGAGCACACAGGACAGCCATACTGTGAGTACACTGAGAGCCATACTGTGAGTACACTGAGAGCCATACTGTGAGTACACTGAGAGCAGAGCACACAGGACAGCCATACTGTGAGTACACTGAGAGCAGAGCACACAGGACAGCCATACCGTGAGTACACTGAGAGCAGGGCACACAGGACAGCCATGCTGTGAGTCCACTGAGAGCAGAGCACACAGGACAGCCATACCGTGAGTACACTGAGAGCAGGACACACAGTACAGCCATACCGTGAGTACACTGAGAGCAGGACACACAGGACAGCCATACTGTGAGTACACTGAGAGCAGAGCACACAGGGCAGCCATACTGTGAGTACACTGAGAGCAGAGCACACATGACAACCATACTGTGAGTACACTGAGAGCAGAGCACAGGACAGCCATACTGTGAGTACACTGAGAGCAGATCACAGGACAGCCATACTGTGAGTACACTGAGAGCAGGGCACACAGGACAGCCATACTGTGAGTACACTGAGAGCAGAGCACACAGGACAGCCATACTGTAAGTACACTGAGAGCAGGGCACACAGGACAGCCATACTGTGAGTACACTGAGAGCAGGACTGAGTACACTGTGAGTGAGCAGAGCACACAGGGTACTGTGAGTACACTGAGAGCAGAGCCATACTGTGAGTACACTGAGTACTGTGAGTACACTGAGAGCAGACACAGGACAGCCATACTGTGAGTACACTGAGAGCAGAGCACAGGCAGCACAGCCATACTGTGAGTACACTGAGAGCAGAGCACAGGCAGGCACAGCCATACTGTGAGTACACTGAGAGCAGGGCACACAGGACAGCCATAGGTACTGTACACTGAGTACACTGAGAGCAGAGCACACAGGGCAGCCATACTGTGAGTACACTGAGAGCAGAGCACACATGACAACCATACTGTGAGTACACTGAGAGCAGAGCACAGGGCAGGTGAGTACACTGAGCAGCACATACTGTGAGTACACTGAGAGCACACACAGGACAGCCATACTGTGAGTACACTGAGAGCAGAGGGACAGCCATACTGTGAGTACACTGAGAGCTACTGTGAGTACACTGTGTCAGTCCCTAACACTATGTGAGAAATAACAAAAGAACATTTCTAAGAATAGTCATCGGCTTCGCCTGTAGTTGGCAATAAAGCATATGATCAGTGGGGGCTTACATAAATATAGAACTCGCCCCCAGCCAATAAAAAAAATTGCTGGCAATGAGCTCACTGTCCAAACATTGAGAGGCAAATCAGCTGCTAAACTTTTTTATTTTTTGGTTAAAGTAGTCTCAGGAGGATACAGGCACTGGATGGTATGTCCAATTGGAAAGACAAAATGGCGGTACTGCAACGTGTCCATAGTCACAGGAATTTGATAATTCCTCTCCTTGTTAAAGCCGTAGAAATATAACGTGATGACTGCTATTGTTGGTAGGTCATCCTGCAGACTCCATGCTAGAGTTGCAACCTTTGTATTGCAATTTGCAATTCTTGTAAGTCACATTGTAATGCACACCTGAATGTGCAAGTGGCTGTAGAAAGGGGGGGGGAGCAGGGACACCCCTCGTCCTGGGTGGCTGTTTCTCTCGTGTAGAGAGAGCGTCCTCCCCTTGATCAATGTTTCTCAACCTTTTACAGAGAAGTACCCCAGCAGGTCTAAAACATTCCTAAATACCCGTGCCTTGTGAAAATCATTTCTAT